TAAATAGATATTATTTCTTTTATGCGGTTAATGATTTAACGGCGATTCCATGATTCGAAAAAAGGATGTAGCACATGTGTATACAAACGTTTCAGAAATGTAGATCACATATCAGCGTGTATTAGAATTGAAGTGGGGAAAAGAATGTTCTCTTTCTCTGGATCTGTTAAAATAGGAGCTTACGACGTGCATTTGTTATAAAATGGACCGCGTTCAGCGTACCGTGAATAAAAACCGCGAAATTTTTGAAAAGTAAGTAACGTAACGATCGATTATCATTGCCGATTCAAGTAACGGCTCTCAATTTTTAATCATTTAAACCCTAAAGAGAATTATTGTAAATGCCGGCGCATTCAACGCGGAACGCGTCTATAAAACAAACACGCGACCGCTTATTTAGACATATCATATAATTTTACATTAACGTTTTCCAAAGACGATCGCAGTAGCGAGTATCACAATGATAACAGTAGATATATTTATATAATATAGTTTTTAGAGTAAAATAGTATAGGTACAGAGTAAACGTACAAAAATACTTCCCGTGAGCATATCAGGGACGTAAAGATTCGCTAAAATATGGAAAACCGCGTCGCTAGTAATTCCATTAATAATCCCTCCTTAAATTTACGACGTCGAATTTAGAGACGTCCCGAAGACGCGTATAGGCCGACGCACTACTTCTTATATAAGTTGTTACGTATTTCCTTCAAATTTGATTATATGATTCGTGGTTTTTCTTTCTTTCACCTTGTAGATGGTGTGCGACTTCATTACACAAGGATTATAATATTTAGTAACTATAAATTTTTTTTAAAATTGTAACAAGCTACATTTGACATAGTGCAACGTTCTTAATGTATATAAAGAATATGTTCTTTAATATATATATCTATGTATATATATATATATATATTTATATACGTGTTTGCATTTAAATATCTATCTGGAATGATTCTTGGAATTACGTTCCAGCGTTAAAACTTATTTCTCTCGTATGTTTCATGTTTTCCTTATCGATAATGAGCATTATTATATGTATTAAAGAATGCATCTTTTCATAAAGTGTTCTTGAAATGAAGTCGAACACCCATCTGTAAAGGCTGCTAATAGATTGATATAATATGGTTTACGAGTTGACATACGCTGTGCATTAATTACTTCTCTTTTTCTTTCTGCCGCGTATCTTACGGAAATACTTTTGGAGAGCTATTGTCATCACGATTGATTGAGACGAGTCGATATATTGTACATACAATAACATTACTTGTTATCCTTATCAAGAAGAATTAATCGATTAGTCACGCGCTTAGTAGTCATCGTGCATCGACAACGCATTTTACGCCCTTGCGACATTTTCATCCTATCATTATTACTCGATCATATTGCACGTTGCAGCATCTTACGAAGCGAAAGGAGTCCGACACACGTTTTTACGTTACTACAGCCGTATTGTTAAAGGATAACGATTTAGACGTGCAGTATGATCATTCTTTGCGTACTTAATACTTTCTCTGGAAGAGCTTACATTACCGCGGAAAACCAGACGAGAAATATCAATAAATAAAACAGGTTGTAAATCGTTAAAAAGAAGAGGTGGCAGTGAATAATCTCTGAGAAGAAAAAAAATGATCGAATGTAAAATACATGTACGTTGGATCACGATCTAGATCCGAAAATATAATACAAACTGATTCGCACGTTCGTTTAAACGGAATGTTAATAGAAGGTGAACTTCGTGGCTTGGCACACGTAAAATAGCAATGCGTTATAGTTAATTAATGATAAATCTTACCATGTCGTTTTAGCACGTATTAAAATACTTTTAAAGTTACGGTGTGTTAAGAATAGTTACCACGATCATCCCTTCATTCACACGTAGCGCATGCATGCATGCACGCACGGGCGCATACACACAGTTTCCACGAGGTTTACGTATGCGCGATTTCGCACGTACGTAATGAAAAAGAGTAGTTTCTTTCTATACACGTACGTCCGTCGTGTATACGCAGTCTCAACGCGATCATATTTCCTTCAGCAAGCTAAAACATTTGTTTAAAAGATTCATCTAAAATCGTGTCTCTAAAACTGTTCAGTCGGCTTGATAACGGTAGCGAGTAAAAGATTTTTAAGATCGGCTGATCTATAACTAAAATCTAATTCTTTTTTTTTGTTCTTTATTTGTCTACGATATTCTTATATATTCCTCTATAATAGGTTCTGATCGATGAAATTTCGCGTAAAAATGATATATTATTGCCCTCGGTAGCAGTTAAAAAGTAACGTTATTCATTCAGTGATTTTTATCGATCGGCAACGTGTATGCATTCTTTCTTTTCTTACTTATAGTCACGTTTTTTATTGTTGACGACCTTGAAAATGAGCACGTATGGGAAAGTGAAAACAGAATATAATTTGGAGAGTACCTGGAAGTACGCAGTACTTGCTTAATCGCGTGGAAGCTGTTTCCTTATCGAGAGAACGTTGAAAGTCAAAACGACTTGACCCGACTTCTGGGTTGAGCATCTTTCGATTGAGTACGCGATGGGGTCAGCATGGAGTTTGGAGTGGCATCGCCGGTACTGGGACGAGAAGATCGCGAATGCTTCCGGCCGAAACGAAAGAAACGTCAGAAAAAAATGACTTCCTCTTCCAACGGTTGCTGCTGCTGCTGCTGTTGCTGCTGCTGTTGATGATGCTCAACACGTTGATGCTGCTGCTGCTGTTGCTGGTGCGAATACTCCGGTGGTGATCGCGTGATCCGTAAGGAACGGTTCGACGAATGAGTCTGACTCGTGCCAGCATGATTATTTCCCAATTCGGGTGAGGAATACGTGGAGCCGGTGGTCACGATCGCTGGGCTGCTTCCAGTTCGCGAATGTCGATCGGGACTGTTGTTACTCGTGCTTCCACTCCTTTTTTAAACGAGAAGGTTTTTCGGTTAATATCGACCACACGGCTATGAAATTACACTCTTTTACATTTACCTAGTATTATTGTTGCTTCCGCTAGCGAGTTTCAAAGGCAATTGCTGTTTCACCGGAAGGTTACTTTGCACTTTTCGCTGACTGGTAGCACTGATTACATTCAACGGTATTCTCTTGGCGTCTGGTTGCGATTTTCGCGCTTGCACCGTGTCAGTCCCAGTCTGTGTCATATGAGAAAGATGAATGGTAGTGGAAGTAGGGGCGGAACCCGTAACTAACGTGACTCCTTGACGCTCCAAAGCTTCCAATCGTCGGTACAATTGATCGCGTTGCTGCGCTATATCATTCTTCTCCGCTGCCAATTGCTCGCGTTGCTTCGCCAGTTCGGCGCGTTCCTCCTCTAGCTGCTTCTGTTCTTGCTGGGATTGAGCTCGAAACGCCGCCTTCTCTCGGCTTAATTGATCTTGTAAGTTTCGCAATTCTTCCAGCTGACGATTCGGATTCGGCCTGTTGTTAGATTTACCCATGCTACCTTCTTTGCACGCGGCTAATTGAGCTTGCAGGCTGTCGATCGTCGTCATCTGATTGCTGATTATACAGACCAGCCTGTAAATGTGATGAGACAAACGTATCGCGGCCCACTGTTGATCTTTATTCGTCTCTAACTCCTGGTTATCCTTTTCTTCGGGACTATCCTTTGTAAACTCGCCGACTTTCGGAAGGGATATCACGGAGTGCATCGTGGATTCTCGTAACGGATACTTCTCCTAAAAAAAAATCGCGATTAGTGTAATATAACAAGTGACGCGTATGACTCAACAAAACGACTATACACTTACTTTGTTGTGATCGAAACCGGCGAACGTTTCGGCTCTTCGCGGAACGCAGAGAGAAGGCGGAACATAGGCTTCGCTGTGTCGCTCTCCTGCGGAACTCAAACTTCTCGACAGCGTAGCACCACCCGCGGTGAACGACAGCGAACTTGCGAGTTTCGTAGCCTCTTGAATGACCGTGATCACCTGAAAACAAAAGATTATTTCGTTTCAATTGTTTTTAGTAATAATGTTCATGTAAAAGAAGAAAATAAAGATGCAGACCTCTTGCCGTAGTTGCGTAGTATCCGTTCCCTCATTATGAACCAATCTCGTGTAATCTGGAATCTCTTTATCGGTTTTTTCTACTCTCTCGTTGTCGCTGCTCTCGTTCCCGCTCCAAATGTTCGCGGCGTGCAAAAGCTGCATCTGCAGATTGATCTTCTCTTCCAAGAGCATCGCGTGTTCTGCATCCTTCTTACGTAGTTCACCTATAGCGTCAATACAATGAGCAAGATGGTATATGTAATTATAAAACGTTCTACGTACCGATTATCTTTAAAACGTGCGATTCTTTAGTCTTGATTAAACGTTGCCTCACTTCGACAGAAAGTAAAGATATGGAGGATGAACGCGTATCTCTCAGCTCGCTATTGTTGTTCTCTGTTAACGCATCCATCTCGTTCTCCGATTCCTGCGGACACGCTTCGACAGCCGATCGGATCGCCTGTATCCACAGATGTTTGTCCTTCGGTTTCTGGATCTTCAACTCGAACATCTCAGGCTCGGCCGGATTGCTGCTTATCAGATAGATTCCTCTAGACTCTTGACCGGCCTTCTCGCGTACCAGCAGCTTCTGCAGCGACACGATGCCGGCCTTATTGTCAGGAACGAAGAACGTATATTTCTGGTCTCTTTCGGCGAGGAAAAACAGTATGTCGGAGAGAACGACCACCACGATGGCAGTCATTTTTCCGCGACCCTGCATTAGATACGCGGTACCCTCGAATTTCAGGATCCTGTTGAACGCCATGATGTCGGATTTCTTGAATTTTACGCCACGATACGTTGCGAAAGACTTTGCATCGATTCTGAATCAAACGTTAGTCGTTATCAATAACTTTAAGAAGATAGAAATGAAAGATAAACGATTTCTTACTTGTGGTAGATTTCCAGCTTCCTATCTTCCCTTTCCTTGTCGGCCACGCACGCGTCCACGTCGGCCAAGATCTCTTTAACAAGTACCAAGGCTTTCCGTAGATCCTCGCTCTCGTCCTGCGCGATACCCGTTTTTATCAACGGCTCGACCAACAGTGGATACTTGGTTAAACGTTGAGTAACGAACAATATACACTCAGGTATTCCTTTTTTCTTGAGCAGAGGATGCGACTGTAGGAACATCGTCGATCGTTAGATCGATCAGGCAAAATTAAGAGGAAAGCACGAGACAGATAATCGATGTAGCTACCTGGCATTGACGAACGAACCGCGCGAATCGAGGATCGTGGCGCAGATAATATTTGTAAGCCTCGACGGCGTCGCGGTGACGACTGCAGAATTCCCCGTAGGCACTTTTCATGCGTTGCGCGTTCTCCCCGGCGAATTGATCGACGAGTATATCGGCGATCGTAGGAACAACGGGGTGCGCGTTCTGTCGCCTGCGCAGCTTTTGTAGAAATCGTAAGTGGATGTCGATGAGATCACGCAGCCTTGGAAACATCCGTTCCAAATCTGGTTGACCCAGACGAAAATGACGACGTAAACCTTCCGCGAAGATCCTTTCCATAGCGAGCAGCACCAGACAGTGGTGTTTCTCCGTAAGTACGAACTCGTATATGTGTTCCTGTCTTTTGACTTTCCGTTCGCAATTGTCGACGAGCCGCAATGCGATGCTGTGACCGATCGTGGCACTCCAGGAGTCCGGTTCCTCTTTGGCCAAGCCCAACTCGGGATCCAAACCTTCTAGATCACCGACGGTGAATTGATACGAGTCATCGCCGACATCGTACCCGTCCAGTCCGCTATAACGCCGTATTTCGATCAGAGTTTGCCTAATTTTGTCGAAAGAATCGCAAGCGTCCACGAACCTGGATATATCGCGATGCTGTCCGTCTCCGTCTTTCTCCTCGTTTATCGTTTGACTGAAAGAAAAAGATGATTTCGCTTTCAAAAAGAATTATCCTTTCCTATGAAAATCAACTTGTTTGCATATTCTTTTCGTATCGACCTTTAAGTCGTTACGATTGTTACCTTCAATATAAAAATGATCAGGAAAACAGCACCTATGTTCTGTTTATATAAGTATATGGCGATAATTACTTAGAATTCAGGTTCTTGTGATCGATGCTATCGATGAGTTTACAAATACAAATGATAAATACTTGATCGCTTGCAATGTAACAAAGAAGAGAATGGATACTCGACCCAAAATTCTCGAACAACAATCATGAGTGGTCTATAGCAGTATGAAAGCGAAAGAGAAAGAGAAAGACAAGGCTACGAGTTTATGTCGTGAACAGAGGAGAGTCAAAGATGAAAGAAGAATGTGGATCAATGATATTCAGTTTTGAATAAAATACTTAACAAAGTGGGTATTCGATCGTTTACGAGTATACAATGAAGTTTTGTGGTATGAAAGTGTAGACAAACAGTATATCGTCGAAAAAAGAGACAAAAATAGAAGCAGGCATGTCAGAAGCATAGGCAAGGGAAGGGCAAGAGGTCGATGTCTCCGTTGGTACACAAAGGAAGGCAATTTTGTCAATTGCCCTTTGTTTCAAACTCTTTTCTCAAACAATGTGCGTGATCAAAAGACAGACGCGGGCGACAACGTCCTACCATTCTGCGTAGAATTTAATTAATCGGATACAGACGAACGGAACGTTTCGACAGACAACTGATTCAGGAGGAACACATCAGAACACATTCTGTGATGGGCGACTTACTTGACTCCGAGCTTAGTGGCAACTCGCCGCCAAGGGCTGTATCTCGTCACCGCTTTCTTGCTGTTAATTTCCCTTTAATCATCGAACGGTTGCACGAGAGGGAATGCACGTAGGGAAAGGAAAAAGCACACACTGCATTAGGGCGACCCTCGTTCGTTTTTCACCGTTTTCTTTTCCTTTCCTTCTTCACTTTTCTTTAGTCTATTCACGTGTTTTCATTTTTAGTTCTTTACACCTCCTCATGTAATTCGATCGACCATTTTCAATTAAAAGTTCACGTAGATAAAGTGTTTGTAACTTTGATCGAAGATGTTTCAGCGCAGTATATTGTATGTTGAACAGCGGGGATACAGAGTATTCGCCTGTGCAGCCGAATATTCTGTTCTTTCTCTACTAGTTAGAAACGTGAGGATGAACACGCTAAAGCTTGCCATACTATTACCGGCTAAACCGCAAAATTAATTAGAAATAATAAGCCTTTCTTGAGCCAGCCAAAGCCGCCGTGTAACAAGCGAATACAATACCTCTTCTAGCTATCTCGTCCTTCTATATGTATCATAATATCAAAATAAAAACGTGAAACATAACAAATTATTTCAATCATTCTGTTTAACAATTGATCAGTATATTGTCAAATCTTTTCTCGTGAAGATCTAATAAGCCACTAAAAGAAATAGTTCGTTACTGTGCAAATTTCTCTAGAACTTGCGCTAACTGTAAGTATATGTATATAACTTGTGTTTCCTTTAGCAAACTTTCGAGTTGAAGTCAGTAAGGCCTAGCCATGCCGATTGCGTGCGAATCTTGAACCACAGACACGCAGATCCAATGCAGGAAAATTATATGAATAAAATAGGCTTCCGACTCTGATCGGAAAATAAATTATTTACCTTCCGCTTCCGGACGTCGACAGAGTCAGCGAGGCGGTGGATCCTCTCTTAATGTTGTAGCTGCTCGAAGTCGTGGATATACTCGACGCGCTTTTCACGACTACTTTCCCGGAGTGATGCTTTGACTTGACACACTCCAACACCAACTGATCCTTGCATCCTTGACTCTGATGCACTGACACTCCACAATCTATCAGATAAAATCACGTGCGATTAGTTAACGCGATCTATACAAAGACACAATTACAGTATTGTAAATTTAAGTTTGCGCTTACTATCGCAGTGTAGGAGCGGTTTGTTTGTTGACTGTTTCATGCAAACGTCGCACAGTAAGCTCCCCTGAGATCCAGCCATCGTTGACCATAGATGTTGTTGCTGACTAGTTTTCTTGCCACTTTTATCCTGAAATTTCATCGACTATTACTACGGACGTTCCTATAATACCGGGAAAATTATCAACTCTTAAGCGCTTAGGTACCTTTTTCTTACGAAAGAAAATTGAACCACGTTTTCTTCTAGTCTTCTCTGAATGATTATCGTCGTATGCAGTTCCACTAAAAAATGACATTCGCATAAATAGTATGCAAGTAAAACGATTCGCGTTGGGAAAGAATTTGGTAGCGGTCGAAGACAACTAAATAGCTATAAGCGTTACCAGGGTGTATTTACACTAAAAGAATTACTAAAAAATACGTACGCAACAGAGCATTTGTAAACGAATGAAATTCAAAGTAGTACAAACCGGGCGTTTTCCTTGCGTCTTGTTAGCGGAACGCGTGTTCGCGTAAGTGTGTGTTCGTGTACAAATGAGAAACTGAGAAAGAATACTCACTCGGTTAACAATTCATCGTGAACGTTAGGCGTTCCTTCTCGATCCTCATGAAACTCGTGGCTGTTAGGCGTGTGAAGATCCTCGGTCTCGGTCTCGCTTCCGCTACCCTTTTCATTTCTTTCGCGTCGGCTGCGTATCATGCACGAGGTGTATAATGGGAAATAGTCAAATACAAACATAAAGTATGCGACTATTTTATAAAAAATATGTATATACAAAAGGTGTATCTTTTTTCGAATTAGCCTTAGAAGAGTATGCCTTAAAAGATCGATAATTAAATGTAATGTAATAAATGGTGCGATCATGCTATTCGTCTACGAGTTGCAAGCAATTATCAAAATAGATGGAAACCTCTTGCGAATCATGCACGAACCGTTTGCGTTCGAAAAATGTTGTACATGTTTCGTTCTATGCTAACGGCTATAAAGATTGCAAGCTAGATCATAAAAGACGCATTTAAAATGCACTATATAGCTGTAATTAATCTATCTTTGTCCAGCGGTACAGTGTAAAAGTATTTTCGAGAAAAAAAAGACTTACGCTGCGAGAGACGGCGCGGTCCTGGTCACGGTCTCAGTCAAGTGAGTGTTTACTTGCGGTGTAACGATCGAGGGCGTCGATATAGATTTCTGGAGAGGTAGACGAGAGCCCGTCAGGTCGGGCATTAAACCACTACTGTCTGCTAATCGTTGACTACCTTTGAATCGTTTCGTAACTATCTTCTGATATTCGCTCTGCCGAAGAGAGAAATTTTCAATGAATATTTTACCGGGAACATCGCTTCTTTATTTGACTAACTGTTGAGCGAACTGTCGAGTTACCTGTACAAGATCGGCCTCGTTCAAGGAATGAGTACTCGCTTGGGATCTGCATGCTCGACTGCCAACCCCTACGGGTCTCGTACACGATTTCCCGTGTAACTCTATGTCCATTTCACTGTCTAGGCTACTTAAACTAATACTGCGTTGTCGCTGAAATCGTAATGAGAACACGTGTTGAATGAGTTACCGAACATGGAGAACGGAGTTCAATGGAAAGCGTTGATAAAGCGAAATGAAAAAAGCGAGGACGAAGCGGTCACGATTCATGCTACCAAGTGTATGCGATATTAACCATGTTTTGTGCTTGCAGATGATTTTGCCCGGAGTATCTTCGACGTCCGCACCGGGTGTCCTCAAGATCGGTCCAGCTGCGTCTTCTATCAATACCTTGACCGTTTTGTGAGACTCGCGGTCCTACCGACGATGGTGGGAAATGCGTCGGCGAGCTGTTCGTCGAACAGTTGGCCAAGAGGTCCGGATCGGAGCCCGTGTCGTTGTTATTAATGTTCGATCTCGCGATCTCAGATGAAGTTAAGGGGCACAGGGATGGACAAGACGACGTCAACCGTTGCGGTACGTCGTTATGAGCAGCGCGATGATTGTATCCCCAGCTGCTAAGCGTCAGATCTCTCATACGCTGTATGCAGTCGTGGATTTCATGCAACTGTTGCAGGTTGTCCTCTGCAACCGGGTGAATATAGTTAGCCACAGAAGCCACACACAAAACCTCCGCGATGTATCGTGAAACGTATAGTGCCCGAAGGTGAAGAATGAACAGGATTTACCCAGAACGGGGTAGTTCTTCGCGAGACCGGGGGAATGAGGAGTGACGCTGATAATCGGCACCAGAGGATTAGGCTGAGTTTGATTGTTAGTGCCAAGCGCCGCGAGCAGCGTTTGTTGCTGCTGCTGCTGCTGATGTTGCTGCTGCTGTTGCTGCTCGTCGTGAGAAGACATCGTGATAGCCGTTTTCTCTGTATTGTCTTTGGTGTAGTCTCTCCCGGTAATCAGATTCCCACGTAGATTCAAACTGGCGAGGTCTCCATTAATCAGAGGCACGCGATCGCAATCGGAATGCGACGACCCCAGGTAATCGGTTATTACATCCTCTTCGCTGTCTTCCCCGCTGTTTGGGCACTCATCTGTCGTAAATAATATAAAAAAATAATGTTAAGTATCGATTCTCACTCCTGGCGCAAACGGTGTCGCGTTTAAGAATAAATAATGGAAGAATCATAAGATCTTCTGTTTCCTAACAAAAGAGACGGTTCGTACTCGCGTTCGCATTTGGTAAACTGCATCGAGATATGGTGAAAACCGATATTCAAATGTCCTCGCGCCTATTGACTATGTAGAGAACAATTGTCTTGCTCTCAGGTCGACGTGAAGAGATATGTTCAATGAAAATCAGGTCAAATCGTCCTGCAACGCGCTGTCCGTGTTCCCGACGTTCGAACCATTAACGCGGAGAAGGTGAATCGTCGTTCCATCGAGAGGATTTAACGATTTTATCTCGCAGTTTTTAATATCGGTCACGGAGGATAATTCAAGGTCGCGTATCGGATATCACAATTCGGTGACAACAGCGTCCTACCGATTTAGCAGAACTGCAGCAAGCAAGAAGAAAAGGTCAAACGGTGTCGTTTAGATTTGTTCACCACCGCTCTCACGTTTAATCGAACAATTGTTAACAGGTCGACGTTCAACTCGGCAGGAAAATTTGACAGAAACCTCGTTTAGTTTAACGAGCTGCGACACTTATTTTAACGCGCAACGTTCCATTCCAATTTGTCCACGCCTCGTTTGTCATTATCCCGGGTAGAGAACGATAAATAGGGAAGAGAAAATTGTACCGAGCAGTTTTCCGGGAAGCGAGGGGCAGACAGACTGTTGCTTTTCCCCGTAGCTTCGAGGCAAGCGCGAATTGATCCGTTGGTCCGCGCGTGCCACCCCGCCTCCTCCAGGCACCCCCGATACTTAACCGACCTCCAACCTTCAATCTAATACCTTTACGGACGCGCTTTTCTACCCTCGATCCTCAACTCGTTTCGCTTCCGCGTTCAAACTCCCGTACGAACAATATTCTTCGTTTTAATCTCATCTAATTATCCTTATAATTAGATCTATCTTCATCGATCTCTGATCGAATAACATTTTCGATTTCTATTTTATGATCTAAACAACGAATCTTTGCTTTTCAACTAATTTCAAATATATTGTTCATTTGAAAACAGAAAAAAGGGTTGTGAGGTATACAACTGTTTCAGTCTAACTACGAATTTTACGCAAAAAGAAAAGTAGGAGTTAGTAAATAAAATACAGACAGGATGTTTAATTCTGAAGATGTTATATTAATTTTCTTCCAAACACTTTATTGCATACAGTGCCAGTGATAACGAGTATATGTATATAATAAGATTGACAGATAATAAAAAGGAGAAGCTGTTTAGTATACGTAGATATATGTACGTTTGTGTTAGTGGTAACTCACCCGATGAAAATGGTGCAAGTATTTCCTGTCGTTTTTCCATCTTTTCTATTTACGACGACTGGATGAATATTTTAATATTTTGCGAGGGCGTAAACTGAAACATTCCATTCCATAAGCTGTAAACGATGTTGAATGTCTACGAAAACATTTCTCAGGCGACGTGTAAACTTGGTGCATGTAGGTATATAAATTTCAACGCTCAGGTAAACTCGAATGTGAGCATCTACTTGCGAACATTACGTGAGAGGATGAAAATGCTTGATGTACGTACATCGTACAAACGGGTAACGCCAGTTATGCATGCAGTATTTTACACTGTAATAAGGGCGCGACGTACACACTTTACTGTAGCCAGAGGAAGCCGTATTGACAGGTGAACACTTGACTTGTTGTTCGAACAACGGGTGTTGTTTAAACACGTCGGAGAATACGTACCCGAAACCCGCTAATTTTTATAGATCCATTAATTTTGCCCGCGGTTTATCGTCCCTAGCTCCTTCATAGAGAAACGAAAATGTTTTAACCACCGATCCGTGTCGCGTACAGTCGACAGTCAAGGCACGTCAACCATTTTGTACTGGTCCTGGTCGAACGTCGAACTATACTATAGGCAGTGATCTGTACTTATAGATCACCAACGATCACTATAGGACAAGCTATAAAATATTTTTAAGAAATAAGAAGTATAGATCAAACAAAAGAAGATGACATTCCATAGTTTGTACGAATTTATTGTTGTGCTGCATATTGAAGATGATAATTATCACAGACACTTATTATATCAAACTCCACGTACACACATGCAAACATGTGTATATAATGTATGTATGTATATTGTCTACCACCACATAAGTCACACAAGTGTCGCTGCAAATGCAAAGAATCCAAGGAACGAAGGAACTGTCAAAACTCGAGAAATGACAACGTCTTGAAACACATTAACGTTCAATTAAAAACGTAATTATCGTTAATACTGAAAGCATTAATGGGATCCGAAGTTCGACAGTTTGTCATCGCTTATTTAAATATTATCAGCAGGTGGATGTACGCGTGTAACGTGTGCGTGAAACACGAGTGCGATCTCGATAATTAACAAACTTGCGTCGTATAATTCGAGTTTGTATCTCGTGAGACCACTGTGTCCTTTTAATGAAATTACTCGCCCGATATTATGAAGATATACAATGGAGGTTTCAGAGGCAAGAAACCTTGTTAGAGATTTGGATTTAACCCTGCAACCTCGCATCGTTCCACGATACAAGACCTGGCTTCCTCTTGCTACCCAACAAGTAATTACTGTCTAATTTTTCTGTAACATACAATTCCGATGATACTAATCCATACAACTTTCAGTTAAGGCTTAGAAATCTGATACAAGTCATAGGATGTAATCTAAAATCTAAAGAGGCTTGTTGGTACTATTACACTTTGCACAGAACAAGCATGTCCTCTCCCTTGTATACCAGTGAAATAATTGACAATGCAAATCCCAGGTGGTCAAGTCTGGAGGTACCTATTATTCATGCCACGGGTTATTCTACTGCCAGTGGTGAGCTTTATAATCTGTTAGTACCTTAAATGCGACCAAACCGATTAAATACAGCTTCCTTGTTGCATGTCATTTTCATTCCAATCGTACTTGTACTATATCAAATTTTTGTTTTAAAAGAGGTGATCGTAAGATTATGGAAAAGAACAATTGCGGAGAGTGTAACTACAGACGTGACAGTATTCACATGGGGAGTATCGTTCACTGGTTTGGTTTATATCGGACCAAAGCTGCCGAACAATGTAGACGTTGTTTTAAAGGAGAATTCTCTTGTGTTTAAATTTCCTGGTGGCTTCTTCGCGCCTCTGTACTGTTTTCTGGAACAACCCGATCTGAAAAGGTATCTGGGCATAAAGATAAACGCGTCCGAGATAAGGGACAGCTACACCGTGAGCAAACTGAGTAGCTTGAGAAATAAAATGCAAGCCCTGAAACAGCAAACGGAATCAGTGCAAGCGCTTAGGACTAGAATCGCGTCTGGTGATAATTTCAATGCACCGAAATATCCGCAATCCTCGTTGAATCGATTGTTCCAGCCTCGTAAAGTCAATAGAGAAAAAAGAACCGAGATATTGAAGATAAAAAAGGATTTGGAAATGGCCAAATTCCGAACGAAGTTGTTGGAACAAGAGAGAGCAAAGAAAATGGGAGAATTGAGGATTTTAAATCAGAAGCATTCCAATATCATGGAAGAGAATCAAGATTATGGTATTACATTGTTATATAGAATTATATGCAGCAATCAGGTGCCGATACAGCTTTGAAACATATTTCAAATGGTAGGTTCGGATTTGATGGAAATGTACCGGGAATTGAACAAGGATATCGAGAGGCTACACGAGTGGCGACAGAATCAATTGGATACGAGAGAAAATTATGTTCAATTGAGTAGCCAGCTTGCTCATAGAAGGCGACAATTAATTTCGGAGTTAAGTTTAATATACCCTATAACTCAGGTTCGTACACAGTTATCGAGTTAAATCGTTGAGTAAATAAGTAAATAAGTCAATCTGCTTATGTATGATACAGGATAGTAATGAGAAGTTTAGGATACACAACGTTCATTTACCGGACAGTGAGAATTTAGAATTATCAAACGATACCGAAGTAGCTGTAGCGTTAGGATTCGTGGCCCATACCACGCAGATGATCGCCAATTTTCTTAACATACCCGCCAGATATCCCATTGTACATTACGGATCGCGTAGCAAGGTCATAGATCATATTACAGAGAATTTACCGGATAACGAAAGACAGTAAGTAGCTTGTTTCTCGTTTCATCGTCCGATCTCTATACCTAATTGTATATTTTACAATATTTTAGATTCCCCTTGTTCGCTCGGAGTAAAGACAAGTTACAATTTCGTTATGCCGTTTATCTGTTAAATAAAAATATAGCTCAACTTAGATGGTACTGTGGCCTTCCTACAACGGATTTAAGGGCGACGCTTCCGAACCTTGCTGCGTTGATAAACATCAAACCGAATCAGTCACAGTTCGTAAAATAGTATTGATCGTAATCCGCGTAAATTATAATTTCCATTCTGTTTCTTTTGAACGAAAATCTATTAATTATTTCCAGTTTTGATAACTCGAAACGAACGTACTCCGCCTCTTCTTTGGATATCGAAGTGACCAACATCAAACAGAGCGTGACACCGCCGATACAGAAAATAATTTTTGAAAAGTGTCATCGACCTTCGCGATCTATGAGCCAACTAAAGAGTATAAAATCTACTCTGGGCTCCTCGTTGGATCAAGGATTGGACAAACCCGTTCAATCCCTCGTTTTAGGTAGTCAGTCTAAACGAATCTGCAAGTCGGAGGAAAGCGCTATAGATGATAAGACGCTGGCTCTACCGAAAGATAGATCGAGTAACAGTAGCAACGAAACTTTGAACAACGCTATTCTGTGCAATATAACCGGGCCGAGCGTCGAAGACGCCGCTCGGTTAAGTGATGAAAATGCCATAGACAGGAATATCGAGATTACGATACCGACGTCGGTGTCGAAATCGACGAACATTACGGACGGTTTGGAGGGCTCGGTCAGCGCGAGAGAGAGAAGCTCGAACTCTATAAGCAGCTGCGAAATGGCATTGAACAGTAGCCAAAACGGGGACGACAGTTTGAACGATAAGAAAGATGAAGCCGCGGAACTCACATCGGTTACAAACGATGTCGTGGATCATTTGCAAAATGGCAAGTCGTCTACCGATGACTGTGATAATTTTAAAACTACGGCTAGTGAACAAAGTGACAATGTCAGTGAACACACGGCGATAGGAACAAAGACTTTATATAATAAAGAACAGTTCGCGAAATCCTGTCTGTCTCTAGACGATATAATGTGTTGTACTTACGATGAAAATGAAAGAACAGAGAGGACAAGCTCCATTTGCAGTTATCCTGAAGGATTTTTGTCTAAGGACATTGACCTAGCATCTCGGACACGTTACAATTCCGATTCAAAGTAAGTGTGTACCACGTAAGTGTACTGTGCTAGTCACCGTTTCATCAATTGTATTTTTCGTAATATAAAGGCAAGAAATGGCGGATTCAAAAAATTGTCGCAACACTAGTAAGGAGTCAACGGTAAGATCTTTATCAAATACTATCCATTGTTCCAAGTCTGATTAGTCACTCTTTTCAGTTGGAAACAGAGCTGAAACCAAATCAGAAATCGGACTTGATATCCTACGAGGAGACGAGTAAACGCGATTTTCAAGCGTCGACCGAGTACATAGATATAATCAGACGGAGTTCCGAGAACGTTTACGCGCGGACCGAGGCGTTGGCTAACAAAAAGACCAGTTTCAAAGTCATGAAACCGCGATAGAAATGTTATCTTGTATTATTTTTAATTAATTATCCAGAGGTGCACTGATCAAATCACGTGCACGTATAGAATCATACTTACAACTAATTATGTTTCCTCGTTTCGTTGAACAGATTGTACTTTATTATGTTGAACATATTTAAACGAATTTATATCGCATTTTTCAATTCGATAAAAGAGAAGTACTATCGTTTGTATAAAATACACTTGTAGAATAAACATTAATTGCGCGTACGTACAACGTATAATTAATCGTTCAGTTAATTACCGATAACTACATTCTCTTATCAACCACGTAATTTTTAGCGTAAAAAAGATATCTACATGTACGTTAACTTGAAATGTATTTATATACATATTTTTTTATTATATCTTGCAAAAAATTGTTACGCGTAAGAGGATCAAAGAAATTGGTAAAAGGTTAAAAGGTATTCGAGTGAATTAAGTTTCAAGTTAGTCATTTTTCAGTCAACTTTATTAGAAATATATAGAAAGCATCGTTAAATAGAATCGAGCGCGGTTTTCTCGTAAAAGTGCGGTGCTAACTCTAACAACCATTCTGGTTGTATAACTGTGATATCCTTCATATACGTTTTATTCGTTTGCAAGACCTCGCAAAATAACACCCTTAGACAAAAATATAAACTTTTAATATACAGATAGTCGCCAGAGGTATTAATCGTTAAATGTGGATATACGAACCATTGAGGTTGCTGCAGAGTATATAAACAACTGTTTGGATGTACGTACAGATCCTTATTGCCTCTTACCGTTTTATATACCCCGGTATAATGTAAGTAAGCCGCTTTCGGGAAAAGTCCAGCAGTAATGCATTTCAAGATTTGTTCCACGTTTCCTGTAACCATATAATTCAGGTATCAATCGCGTTATTAAAAGAAGGTATAGCTTCACCTACCATTACAAGAAACAAGCGGTATCGCCAATCTCTTCATCATGGAGTGCATTTGAATACGAATCTCCGTAGTCCTCCTCAAAGCTTTGCTGTTTAAAAAATTTTGCTGACACCAACTGGTCGTCCTGCTGTTTTTCTCGTAAGCTGTGTAAACATTCAGTAGCGTTAACAGATCGCCTTCCTCGACCTCGAACTTCCTGTGTGCGATTCTGGCTTTTATCGAGGCTTGTCCGCCGGCTGGTCTGATAAAAACATTTTGAACTTGCAGCATGGCTAAGATCGTCGACAATTCTTCGGAACAGCTCATTTCACCTATGAGATAATCAAATAATTAAATATTCAGATAACTTGGTACCGTATCACCGGTTGTGGGCTAAAAAAATTTCACCTGACACTATCAATGATTTCGCAAAAACGGGCTCCAAAGGCATCTCGGCCATCGTTACGCCCAACGGCGTCGTCAATTCCCCATTGCTGTCGATAGCGCCAAGCGCATACAATAATTCCAGTCCAGCTAGTAGATTTTTACTTGGCGGAGCGGAAGGAAAATTAAACCGCAACACGTTATCGATTCCCAGAGCTTTCAGTTGTAAAATAGCTGGAGCTAGGTCTGATCGTTGCATCTCCGGCGGCGTTGCCTCGAACAAATCCGTATACGCTTCCTCCGTGTACAGTCTACGAGGAAACTGAATGAAAAGACATGAAAGTTTTCATCGAACGAAGTCCTGATTAAACGTAAACGCTTAGAGAGTTACCTGTAAGCTTCTCCGTTTCGAGTGCGACCAGCTCGACCGGCCCTTTGATTCGCGGAGGCTTTGGAAACGGGAACGATCACCAACGAATTTGTTTGGGTCTCTGTTTCGTACCAAGGAATCTTTACGAAGCCGCAATCAATTACTGGAAATTAAGTATCATCGAAATTCGATATATCGATCTTTAATTAAAGAATTTGAAAGCCTAATGGGAAAATTGGACCTACCATAAACGATGTTCGGTATAGTAATAGAGGTTTCCGCTATGTTGGTCGCTACGATAACTTTTCGAGTATCTTTAGCGGCTCGCCAGAATACTTTTAACTGTTCCGAATTAGGAAGGGATCCGTACATGGCCAGAGGCAAGAGTTTCACTGTTCAAAAAAGTAGCAAAGAAAATATTACACCGTTTACTTTTCGTTATCAATTCGACTCACATTTGCCTTCTTTTATTAACTTGGCATGCTCCGATAACAAAGAGACCGCCTGGTCTACCTCATCTAGGCCCGTCAGAAATGCAAGGATATCGCCGGGTTCTCCCTTTTCATGAATTTTCAATACGGTGTCGACGACACTGTTTACGTAATTAGCCACTGGTTCTGGAAATCGCATAATGAATCGATTAATAATTAATATATTTTCGTGATTCCAGAAATTCCAGCCGGAATACCTTGCACGTAAAAAATGTCCACGGGATAAAGTCTACCCTCGACCGTCAGTATAGTCGCCGTGTCCTTCGCCGAATCCTTCGTTACGTTCGTGTTAAAAAAGTCCCTTAACTGTTCGGCATCTACAGTCGCCGAACAAACAACTATTCGTAAACTTTTACGTTTCTGCAATATAAAGAAACGATCACTCACAATATCCTTATCGAACGATATCTTTCATCGGAAATGTAGATTACCCTAATAATCTTTTTCATAAGTCCCATGATAATATCTGTAAGAAGAGTTCTCTCATGTACTTCGTCCACGACGATTACAGAGTAACTCGTTAACAATGGATCATTCATCAACTCGCGAAGTAGAATACCCTCTGTCATATACTTGAAAATAATTAACAATTACTTATTGTTAGATAAATTAAAGTAGCGTCGATAATCTAAGTAACTTTATACCTTTATCTTTGTCGTCTCATCCGTAGAGTTATCGAAACGTATAGAATAACCGACTTCTGTTCCCAAGATGCAATTTCTTTCATCCGCGACACGATTAGCTAAAGAAGTCGCAGCGACCCTTCTCGGTTCTGTGATGCCGATCATTTTTCCATCCGAACACCATCCGGATTCGAGAAGATACTATAATCATTAGATTCATTCCTAATTTGTCTCTCGTCCAAAGGTGAAACAACTCGACAGAATTTTGGTATTAACTAGGTATCAGATATAAAAGTTCTAAGAAATTGTGTAGCTTATCGATTTATTAAGCTGATATGGGATGAAGGAAGCGATAACGGTAACAATCAAGTCAATTGAAGTTTTAGGATAGAATATGGGGAATAGATTCGATGCTACGTATATATGTAGATACGTTTTACGCAAAACTTTATTAGTAGGTACAGTGTTAAACAGCACTAATTCGTCTTTCAAGTTTGGTGCGAAGCCTCCACGTTGAGCTCTCCTTTCCCATTCGCTCTAGCCATCAGTTTCTAATCTTATCGGGCATAATCCATTTGGAAAGAATTTACGTCACACATGTGGATAATTCTCTTCACGTCGTATATAGTACTTTCATACATAATCGAGAAAAGCTCGTTACAACCATCGTTACAACCTCCTTCTTCCGTCCTTTTCTTAATAAATCTCTCTCACACAGAGATGACTTATAAGTACGCTTTACTGTTAATACGACAACCGGATTCACATCGTAGGTAAAAGGCAAGAATTTCAGCTGTTTATCGTTAATAAAATACGTAGAATTCAGTCACGCTCTTGGCAATAATTATTACATCGTCAACATGTTTTAAGCGTAAACAAATATGCCTTATATTCTTTACGAGATGTTCTCAAAGTTATTTTCCGTTCAAAACAAAATGAGATGAGACTTTAAATTGGAAGCGCTTCTTTTGAACCGAACAATTCAGTCGTGATATAAAAACGTGGTTAACACGTTGGATGCCACGGGGGTTACCGGTGACCGGCGCGCCCAGATTGATAAAAATATATATAATTTAAACAAATGACAATACTTCGCGAAATCGCACTCCAGCACCACGGGGGTCACCGGTGACCCCGTCGCAATTAACATGTCAAATATTGTTATCTTGTTTATTGCAGATAATATTTCAACATTATATGTATCGCATAATAGAAAATTCATCGTGGCGCCACGGACAATCCCTGTAAAATAAGCGTGGCATTCAACGCGTTAAACAAATTGATGTGAAACCAGCTACGACTTTATTAAATCATAGCTGATTGTATCCATGTTCACTATCTATATAAGCGATGATAACTTGAATCCCGCGAATGACAAAGTGGAAAACGAATAGATGGGCTATAAGGGGAGCGCAATATAATATTGCACAAAAAATAATGATTATTAATAAACAATTAATATTGTCAATATTATTTAACAACTAGCCTGACTAGAAAAACAAATATAGTTTATATCATTTAATGGGTGACGCAGAAATTCCGTCAGTCTGATGCGTCGTACAAAATACAGAAAAATAGAAAATACAAAAGACTTTATCACGACATTTTTTCAGTTCGAATGATTTGTCTTGTTATCACCGGCGACGAATAGACGTTGAAATGAAGTTATTCCAAGATTTACACTGTCATCCCTGGGTAAAAACGTCGGTCGAGGATATCTGTTCATCTATCAATGATGATACGTCCCTCACGTAAGTGTAGGCCCGTAGAAAATGAAACTCGGTGACATAGACGAGCAGCAACACGATAACGTACGAAGACCATCTCACCAATTTGACGTATTCCCTCATACGATCGAAGAATATCGCCAGAAGAAGATAGTCCATCATCGCGTGGAAATTGACGAATTTCCAGCAGAGGACTATTATCCAAAACGAGAGACTTCTGATGATAATGGTCTGACGGGCGTATAGACGCTCCCTGCTAATCGATGGAGTTCTGTAGTTAGTCTCGAGAAGATCTTGATACAGGTATATGTATCGGTTCCAGGTAGCACTGGTAAGGAACAAGTGGACGGTTATGAGCAGTATATTTCGGAGTGCTATGTTGGAATTTTTCTGGATTCCATTCCCGGGTTCTACAATCGAGGAGGATACCGGAAGTTGAAGGAGCTTGTCGTATCCTCCGCGTCTGCTTGAGTTACGGACAAGGAATTGATATAGGCCGATGATCAGGGCAAGACAACCGACAGCGTCGCAGACTCCGTCGACTATGTAACCGTTCGAGCCAACGTCCGACCTTTCTCCAGCGATATTTGCCCTCTTTCTAGCCACATGACCGTCCAGATCGTCCAGCCACGTTCTTGCTTGAAACAATATGACGCCCAATCTTCTGTAAGACAGAGAATCGCTAGAAACGCATTTACCGGCTAACACCGCTACCAGAATGTGGAAGTAGCTGATCGAATTTGGCGTCACCCACGTCCAAGAACTGCTTATATGCAACAAATTGTCCATGATGGCAGCAAGGGGACTTAGAAGGAAGTGATTTGGATGATCCAGCATTAATCCTTTTACGGTGACCGTGCACAGTGGATCGAAATCGCATGGTACGACTGATTTGTACTGCGTGCCATTCGTCGTTGGCCTCACGTCGTATCTCTGTATTCTAGAGTATAGTAGAAGGTCCATGGCCAAGAAGTATACTATCAACAGTATTAGAATCACTACAACCGACTTGCTCACCAGTGTCGTCGTACCAAACATCTTGGATTAACGATTTTTGGGCTCGTTACCGTGTTGTATGTCTTCGTTATCTAATCTTTAACCGAATTCGGATATGTATGAACACGTGTTTTCAGTATGATCAAATAAAAATAAAAGGTGAACACTCTTTCGTTATTTTAAAACATAATTACGATGTTCGATCGTCTGACAAATCAATTCGAATCACAGCCAGTGGATAAAGTCTTGAATCTCTTGAGCTCCTTACGTTGCTTCCTCTTTTCACGACACTATTCTTGTTCGAATATTTGGAGCAAGGTGCGATATTTACGATTAGCTTCTCGAGTAATATTATGCATCACTCCGTGGCAAATACATCTTCGTTGCTCCGTAATTATTTTCTCTTCGCCATTACTTGACAGTATCCATGAGGCAGCGGAAATAACGAGTGGAACGAAGCAGTTTTTGTAACATAATTATTTATTTTCGTCCGTTCGGGGTTAACTATTTGGATATACGGAAAAGCGGTACAATGATTTTTGTTCGCACCAAGCATCGTTCCGTTGAATTCGATCGAGACAACCTCGTGCCGATCCCCGTTTTACAAAAAATTTGTTCTTTGTATACGCATCGCGTTTCGAACACAGTATAGTTCAAAGTTTAGTCAACCGCTGAACATTCACCACTGACGGCTGAATGCTGAATACTGAATGCAACTGAATGCACAGCGCACAGCTCTATTTGTATGCTTCAGCGCAGAAACTCACGTACTGCTCAACTGCAGTCTACCTACAGTTTATGACGCGAAGCAACGCGGCCGCGGCGCATCCAATCAATGGCGAACGATAAAAATTTTCAGATCAATTAAGATTACAGATTAGATATTTCTATCGATTCGATATTTACTATCAATTAATGGCAGAAATAGAATCATTATCGCGTTTAGAATTCATCAGAATTTCAGACGCGATAAGAGTCTTTTTACAAGTGACTCATGAACTGTAAATGTTTCTTACGAAAAAAGATAATTATTTGTACTTGCAATCTCTGTTACTTAGATATGATTTTATGTTTGTTTTGAGTATAATTTTGTTAGTGGTTCGTGTTGTCATAGCGTCCAGTTCTTACCCACAGTAAATCGATTTTATATTATTCGTTGGGGTCAAAGGCAAGTTGGAATCAATTGAAAAAGCAATAGAATTTCCTCATGTACTAATTAACATGAAATAATCGTAAATCTTACCTACCACGTAATATAGCTTGTAAGTAACTGATATAAAAAAAGTCGTAACAAGTATTATTAAAATAAAATTATACATAAAGTAATATAACGACGATATAAGAAGTCCATTCTGAATCTAATAAATGTACAAACTGAATAACAAAGACGTAAGAATGAAATTTTGTATTCATTGTATGTAGCATGAATTACATTATTTTATATTAAAGAGTTATTGCTACTAAAGGATAAAGAAAGTTACCTGAGGTAATTGTGTACTCTTTCCACAACCAGTTTCACCAATCAGGACCAGCGTTTGATACTTCTCCAGTAAATAAATTATGTGACTTCTGTATTTGAACGTGGGTAACCTTTGGCGTTGCATATTCAATGCGAGTGAATGATTCGCATTGTAAACGAATTGTGTAGAGGAATGAGCTTCTATGTCCGGTTTATCCTCCTGCCACATGCTGTCTCCTGAAATTTTAAAGATTACGACAAATTAATAACTGGGATTGTATGAAAATTGAGGCAATAAACATCAGAAAATTTCGATACGTAGTGGAAGTTACGATACACCAATGTATGAAAATCTCTATTACAATATGCAACACAGGTGCATGTGTTTAAGGAAAAATGTAATATGTATTGCTGCAGTTAATAATTTTGCAAGATCGTATTCAGGGCAACTGTAAACAATTATCGTACGTACCGGGTTTTGAAAAGACTGGCTTTGTATTCATCCTGTCACACACTTGTTTTAATATATAAATGAACAAAATTAATTCCTCCTACACAGGCTTCACATTAATTAATGTTAAATTCGAATATTTAAGTAAATATCACATAATTCGAACGATGAAAACACAACTACACACTCCACGTGGTTTTCACTTGAAGTTGCATGCGATTCGAAACGTGCATACAACTTCACTTCATACTTCTCGACTTTGATCAAAAGTAGCTCTGTAAATTCCGTGAATCGCGAGTCATTTTAAAGTAGTTTGAAAACTATCTACAAGAATAAAATGATGAAAGTATTTAGCTTTAATTTAATTAAAATTTTTTTAGTATTATATATTTGGAATAAACTTTAATCTGTGCTTGAATACATTCCCGTTCTATCTGAACTCGGGCAATTACAATATTATTTTGTAAAAGTAAATGTTTGTCAATGAAAGAGATAGTTTATTTATATAAGTTTTATTGAACATATTATGAATTTTAATCACTTAAATTATTATTATTATTATTATTATTATTATTATTATTATTATTATTATTATTATTATTATTATTATTATTATTATGTGTGTATTGCATAAACGCACCTAAACGCTTGAAGATTTGTCAGTTTTCTTCAATCTCTTTTGCTCTCGTTACACGTTGAAACTGTACATAACTCGCACTGTATATAATTTTCGTGCACGCGAATTTTATATTACTTTTTTAAACATTAACGAACGGTGAATGAAATTTCAAGGTAAATAGGAATGTATTTCGATTCGCAACGAAAATATTGTTCCAATACGGTGATTAGTATTGCGTTTGTGTATCTGAAAGTATCGCTATTACATATTCAGAATTCCACGAGATCTAATCTTCTCAAGCACCACACCATCATCTAATTTTTTATTTATGTATCAGAAATATATTATTTATAATAATCTTTTCTTATTTCATAAATTTCAACACCACGTGCGTGTAATACATATGTAGGTAATTACAGAACATTGAAAACTTAGGAAACGTGGTGAACAGTACAATGTTACGATGATGCGTCGTAGAATTGATAATGCTATGTCTGAGTTCGGTAATTGGAGAAAGAGCGAGTGATTTCAATAAACACGCGTACAAATGTCTGAACACAAAAGAGAGTCGTTAATGTACGATGATGATTGAAAATTCTTTGTATTCTTCTGACGTTTTTCGTCGCATCGATAATGATAACAAATTGTCCTGGGAACTTTAAGTTAGCCGTGTTTCTTTTTTAAAAACATTTGCATCTATAGGATTAAGTTTTGCAGATAAATGTTAATAGTAAAAAATATTATTATTAGGCCGTGGCTTCTGCCTCCCCGTTGCTCTCCGTTTCAGCACACTTTTCTTCGAGTTTCGATTTTTTTTCAGGACTCGCCCCGTCGGTTGCTGAACCATCCTCCGACGTTGCATCGCTTAACGTTGTTGATTTCCTTTTTATACAACAACTGTCAACTGGAGCATCTGCGGCGAACAATTTTTCATTTAAATTAAAAACAACTGCAATTGTTGAAATGTATTCAGACAAGATCATTTCCTACCTGTTGAATCACCATTCTCTGTTGATTCTGGCTCCTTGCTCTCGGATTCTTCTTTCTCTTCGTTCGATCCATTTTCTTTGGTTTCTTGGGCATCACCATTTTCAGATGCTTTCGAATCTTCATCAACTTCTTGTACTACCTTCTTTTCTTCCTCTACCACTTTCTTCTCGGGAGTCGTAGCGACTTTGGTGTCTCTGAAAAAATTAGAATAGACAAATTCTTAATCATTTAGTACATGAACAACATAATATTTTATTTTCTCTTCAAAACTGTATGTACCATGTAATTCAGATTAATTTCAGTTCAAACGAAACAATCTGTTCTACTTTCTTTTTTATACAAAGAATACAAAGAAAGAAACGTTAAACAATAGAATCTTTGGAACGTGAATGACTTATTTTTTTTCTTCATAAACATACTTGTCCAACGTATTTTGAATGAACTAGAAGAGAGAGAGAAACAATCGTGAAACACAACAATGGGGATTCTCAAGGTACGAGCGTCGTTATCTTAGTTCTTTTTTTCTGGAGCGCGTTGCCGGTTAAAGTTTAAATATGAGGAAAAAGGATAGAACACAGGGAGAGAAGAGAAATAGAGATAGGGACGCCAACCGTAGCGGCACCTACCCATGTTTTAATATTATCCTACTCTTCCCTTCCTTCTCCGACGACCCTCTCCTTTCATCACTGCACACAGAGTCACACGCATTTATATTTAAGTGATACGTATGTATGTACGCTCGTTCGTAAGTTCGTACGTAAGAAACACACGCGCACCTATACGCACACTTTGATACACGCGAGCAGCAACGTATACATTCGTACGTAAACAACACGCATGCATTCGACTTAAGCTACATACACGCGCATACAAACGTTTCAGAAGCGCGGCAAATCGCGTACCGTAAATACATTGGACGTTATCCCTACATACGCAAGTAGATGCTCGTTCTCACAGCCTGAGAACATTAAATAAAGCTAAACAGCAATTTTTACTTATTATTGCGTTAAGAAAATTAAACGGTGGTACAATATATGGTCCTAAGCAGAAATATAAGTATTTAACAACGTGTTGGTAAGGGAGAAGAGATCGATACCGTTGTCCGTTTTCTTTTTTAATCTTCCACGCGCTACAACCGTCCGTTATAAACATAAACACATACTTAAAGAAACTAATAGTGAGTTAGAAATATTCGTAACCGTACAATCGTACGTGTAAAAGCAAAGATTGAATTTGTTAGAGTCAGAGAATATATTACGTACTCGGCCAACATTATGTTTTTATAAAATTATTAAAATAAATGAGCAGCAGATAGCGGTGTAGACAATACAAGGTAGATAAAAAAGAAATGAGTCGATTGGTAATTATAGGTATCAGTATGTTCGAAGGTAGGAAGCAAGAGACAACGATGCCGCCAGAAAAGCAGTGTACAGTTGCAAGTAGAGCACACGGTATCGGACAAGGCAAAGGCAGGCAGGTATAATGTATAATGTTGAGGGGAATAGGGGAACGTAACGTAGCGTCTTACGAATCGAGCTGAGAATATCACGTAAAAGAGTGGGTACATCCCCTCTTCTTCCCTCGCTTCTCCACTCATCTCTCTCACGCTACCCTCCGGTATCCTTTTCTCGCGAATACACGCAAACTACTAGCCGTACGCTTTCAAAAAGTATACGATGTAAACCCGCGATGCAAACAAAAATCTGTTACGGATCAACTTGAAACACGCGAGATCTGTACCGAATGAGACGGAAATTACGGGAGTCAGGGCCGATTACTTGTTGGATCTAATAGGGAAAGCGTCTAACGGAATACGATTTTTTGAAGCGGACAGAGATCGATATAAAAAAAATATAATCCATTAACTTACTTAGTCTCAGTATCCGCCATGGTGATCGATTAAGCGCGCGTGGTCGATAAACTGATTCGGGATATACTTATGTATAAAAAATACACGCACCACGATTTATCAGAACTCCGATCGTACTTCTACGCACCGGTAAGCAGAAACGAACGTTAAAAAGCGAACGAGGTAAAAGAATTCTGGTTGAACAGCACACTAGTTGCGTCGCGTAGTAGCCGCGTACCGACGCGCAAATGGCAGAGAGGCTCTTCGCACACTACACTGATTCGCCCCGTGTGTGACTCGCCGAGTATTGCTCCTCGACTCGGCCCGGCCGGCAGGCAGGCCGGCGGCCTTCAAACAATTTTCTTTCCCGCTCATTTACAGATGGCAGCCCAGTCCGTCCCTTCCTTAAAACCGTATTCCACAAATATTGTCTTTATATCATCAAAAACCAAAAATTCGTCATTTTACTACGGAAAGATAAACATCTACTTGACTACTTTTATTAAATCATTGTTGATCAAGCCAACTGCCCGAGCTTAGGTTAGTTTCCAACGGAAGTTGATCGACGATGCACAATGAAGTTGCCGCGAACCTTCAATTTTGTAGAGCTGAGAAGGCTGTTACGCAAAACTGTAACATAATTCGTAGAGATACAACGGTTAATTTGCTTCGTTTATCTCTGCTTCCTCGTTTGCTAAGAATGTCTCACATAAGATTGACAATTATTTTTATGGTTTAGGGATTCATGATGGGGTACAGCTTTGTTAATACCACCACTACTCGACAAATCGGCCAATCAGGTCGATTCTTACAAAACTCATAAAAAATTCCTGTGCTTCCGGCGCTGGCTTCACCGAACGCATTATTCGAGGGTGTTGCTATTATTCGTCCGGAATTGCGTCCGAACACGATGAACCATCGATAATGATGGACACATGATTAACGAAAGATGAATTCGAACGATATTCGATCCGCAATGCGGATAATTAATGGGAAGAGTCAACGGAAAGTTCTAGAAGTTTCGCGTATCCGGTGTCGTTTCCGGTGTATATTAAAAGGTGCGCGGCGCGACGATGCTTTCAGGTTGATTCGAGTTTCTCGTCCATGTTACAGGTTGCCTTTGATCGTCCGACCGGTGCAAAATATCAGTTATCTTTCTCGGTATGATACCTTTACATTTCGATCATCATAAGTATAAGTTTATTCCAAGAATCTTACGAACGATCAGCAATCTTGAGCATAGACACCACTCTGAACGTGTTTGCGATACCAAACGTTATTGCTTTTCAATATATTCTATTCTAATTCTGTACGCCGTACGCTATTTATAAATCAACATATCCGAGTACATAATGTATATATGTGCGTACATAGAACGTTCACGTGTGTAATGTACACATGTATTAAAGTAAAACTGTATCCTGCACAATAAGTAAATACGTGAATGTATGTAGTAAGAGAAAGTAGACGTTACATTCTCAGATTTATTACATCATTTTATAGAAAGTTCACGTACGATGAATTCATCTTGCGTCGCAAGAATATCAAAAATTAAGCAAAATTGATATTTTCCCTTATGAAAAAGAATCGTGCGGACGTATGCGGAATGTAATTTTTCTTTGCGCACGTGCCACGTGCCAAAGGTCTACGTAAGCACGAAGATAACACCGACCTGCGAAGCAGCTGCTGCAGGTGAAAAAGGCAGATGCTTCCTTTTCGAATACGAAACGTTCCAAACGTCGAGTACTTAATTACGTACGATGTACAATGTAGTACAATGTACTATGCGCAGTTAGAGTTTAGGTTCCTCAATGAAAACTTTCCACTGCGAAGGAAGAAAGGATGGAAGGTGATTATACGCTTTTCGCTCTACGGTTTACAGTTAGCTCTTATTTATAATGCTAACGTACGACGTGCATGAAGAAAACGGCTATAACGCGGATTTTTTTCTCTCTTACTTCGTTTCGTCGGACGTTCAAAGAGTATCAGCTTTCTTAATGAAGTTATATTTAGATGCAAGTTTTGAGGCAGAAAATATTTCTCGATAACTAATAAGTACGCAATGTACGTAATTCTTCTTAATATTCGTAAAGAGCTGTTATCGCTGTTACGTGATACGATGTATCGTGTAGAAAGAAAGAGAGAGAGAGAGAGAGAGAGAGTCAAGGAAGGGATAGGCATGTTTCTTTGATAAAATTAAATTTCGTTTTAGTGGGTCAGTGGAAGAGGAACACACACATACTACTCAAGCTAAGTATTTCGATGACAGTAACCTATATTTCTCGCTGGCTTTGGCAGTGTCAAACTAAACATAGTAACCACGGGCATAATCTAAATTTTCATTTCGCTGGACTAAATTCCTACGTTTTCCCTACCTTTGCTTCGTCACACGAATAAACGTGTACACATAGACTTTTGCGCATTAGAAAGTTATGGAGTGAAAACGAAACAAAACGTATTCCAACTTCTACATTTTAGATCCAGACCGTGACGCTGTATTTCAGGATGTTACTTTTTCGAATGCGTAAGATTTTATTTTTATCGTATTTATCAGTGATCTGAATAATTTAAGAAAGGGATCGATCCCACTTTTACTCGACAAATTGGCACAAGCCGACGAGCTTTCAAGCTTGTTCGGGTCGTGAAATCGATAGAAGTAGTGGTCGCGCGCATCATCCCGTAGGGTAGATACAAACTTCAAGTTAATATAATGAGGAAATTGGAGTGCGAGAAAAGGATTAATTTATTTTCGCGTGATAAATGTTCTCGGATCTCTTAACATGACATAACAACTATCTGCATCGAACGTTTACCATCGTAGATCGTAAAATACAACTTTCTACAATTATTCTGTTACAGTTTCATATATCAGTACACTATCTTTCAGACTGAGCAGTTACTTTCGAGACGAACGAATACGAATAGAGGAATAGCATTTTTGAATGAAATCCGAAATTGCAGCCAGTTAAAGCTGCATGTCAAAAACTGAATGGCCTAACATTTGTGTGTAACCGTACTCGAAAGGAAGACCTGACCTGCTCGTTGCCGTTGCCGGTACCTTTTTGACTCCGATAGCAACCGGTTCGTCCCCGATCAGACTCCGTCACTGTCTCTTTCTTTCTCTCCTCCGCCCCTTCTCTATAATTCTTTCTCTGTCTCTCGTTCACTCCCTTCTTTTCTCTAGGCCTCTAGGCTTTCTCCCAGTGCGGCGCTCTAAAATTGCGCCTATACCAGTCGAGAAAACTAATCGGCAAAGGGAATTATCGCACAGGTCAGTGAGTATTCAACCTTCCGTACCGCGCGCCGCGCAAAATCGGGTCGATTATTTATTAATAAACTCTATATCTACCCGAATTGATGGCTAAAAGACAATTGAAACCCCTCACAGGAGAGCTTAATCATCAAGTTTCCAAGAGAAACAACCTATTAAAATCATTAAACATTAACGAAACGTGCGAAGGAGGATGATCATAAATGAGATTAGGCTATACTGCGAATTGTTAAAAGATCTATCACTTCATGAATTATGGATCGTGTCGAGACCTTCTCCAAGATGTTTGTTCCCCTTCGATACAATCTGGTAACATTTCGGAAAGTTGTCAAGGTCCGATGACTGAAGAAGGTAGTCGGATTCAACAGTGATTCAATAGTGAACGAGGAAGCTTGCCTAAAGGACTCGGAGGAGATTCTTTAAATCTGTTACGTCGACGCTCGTGCGTGGTGGCAGCAGCTCCTGGTGGAACGGATCGGGAATGTCTTGTTGGGGCTACATCTGTCGGCGATGAGTCGAAATGATCGTCGACGAGCCCTGCGGCACAGTAGCTCTCGCGCTTCGTGGTGCGACACACCTCGTCGTTCTCGTTGTCGTCGTTATAGTTTTCGCACCCGTGCGAAACATCCATGCGAACATTGCGAACGCACAGAGAGAGCTGCCGCGTCCGTCGCCATCTTTAACCGACTCTGTGTCTCTGCTTGTTATTTCGTTTCCTCTTTTTCGTTTCCACGAACCGAAAAAAACAGTCATCACGTAATACGGTGTGCTCCGTGAAAAGCGAGCCCGATGTTCGTTTAACGAGAGATAGTTTAAAGTACACGTATAATCGACGGAGTGCGTGCGCGTGACGTGCGTAAAAATCGAGCAGACGACGTTCCGCGAGCCGGGGGCGACCGTATCGAAGGGTTGCGAGCGATCGAAATCGCATCGAAACCACCTATACATCGAGGTCTCGATACTTTCCGCTCGACTCCTCGGATTTTGCCCACTGTGAGAACGATCCTACAGTCTGGTAGTCGCGTTTTGTACCAGTGCATCTCATCGTTAGACGGGCTGCTCTACTCGCGATACGTCAAAACTCGGATCGAGAGCGCGTCAAGAACTGAAAAACGAAAAAAGCGAAGGAGAATAGTGTAGAGAGTGAGAAACTGAGACAGTGACAGAGGGAGAGAGAGGGGGCGAAAGAGAGAGAGAGAGAGACTGCGAAATCTAGTGGACGTCGACAATTGACAGGGAAAGATGGCGCGAGTCGCGGACGAGGATTAACGCTGACCCATTTTTCCGCGCGAAATCGTTCCGATCCTCGAAGTACGATCTTCCAAAACGGATTTGCTTTCTTACGAACGACTCCGCCGTTGTTCCCGGTTGCAGTGAGAATTCGAATAAAAAAAACAGAAGAGTTGCTACATCGTGTGGTGCGCGTGCGATCAGTTCTTGCGTAAGTGTGAGTGCCCTATCGACTGTTTGATCCTAGAGAGAGAGAGGGATAGGGAGAAGAGGAGAGAGGGAGAGAAAAAGAGTGCAGTAGGTGTCGGGTGAACGATTGGAAAAAGTTTGGTGGAAGATCGGGGTCTTGGCAGGCTCGAGGAGGAAAATAAGAAGAGGACGCAGGCTTCCGAAGCAGGTGTTGATCTCGGCGTGTACAGCCGTGTAGAAGAAGATTCGGGGTAGTAGGAGGCTGTTCGGCTGCGAGGAGCACCGCTAAGATGGGAAACAATGCGACGACCGCTAACAAAAAGGTCGACGCCGCCGAGAGCGTTAAGGAGTTCCTCGACAAGGCGAAGAAAGAGTTCGAGGACAAGTGGAAGAGAAATCCGACGAACACCGCGGCGCTCGACGACTTTGAGCGCATCAAAACCCTCGGAACCGGGTCGTTCGGTCGCGTCATGATCGTCCAGCACAAACCCACCGGCGAGTATTACGCGATGAAGATTTTAGACAAACAGAAGGTGGTGAAACTGAAGCAGGTCGAGCACACGTTGAACGAGAAGAGGATACTTCAGGCGATCAGTTTTCCGTTTCTGGTCTCGTTACGGTTTCATTTCAAGGACAACTCGTATCTGTACATGGTCCTCGAGTATGTGCCCGGCGGTGAGATGTTCAGCCACCTGCGTAAGGTCGGCCGTTTCTCGGAGCCGCACTCGCGTTTCTACGCGGCTCAAATCGTACTAGCTTTTGAATACCTGCACTACCTCGACCTGATCTACAGGGACCTCAAGCCGGAGAATCTGTTGATCGACTCGCAGGGTTACCTCAAGGTGACCGACTTCGGTTTCGCGAAGAGGGTGCAGGGTAGAACGTGGACCCTCTGCGGTACACCCGAGTACCTCGCCCCGGAAATAATCCTGAGCAAGGGTTACAACAAAGCTGTCGATTGGTGGGCACTGGGCGTTCTGGTTTACGAGATGGCAGCGGGTTATCCGCCGTTCTTCGCGGATCAACCGATTCAGATCTATGAAAAAATCGTCAGCGGGAAACCGAGATTCCCCACGCACTTCGGCTCCGACTTAAAGGATCTTCTTCGAAATCTGTTGCAAGTCGATCTGACGAAGAGGTACGGAAATCTGAAGGCCGGCGTGAACGACATCAAGGGTCATAAATGGTTCGCGAGTACCGACTGGATAGCCGTCTTCCAAAAGAAAATAGAGGCGCCGTTCATACCGAAGTGCAAGGGACCCGGGGATACCAGCAACTTCGACGAGTACGAGGAGGAGACATTGAGGATCTCATTAACGGAAAAGTGCGCCAAGGAGTTCGCCGAATTCTGAATTCAACCCATCCGGAAACATGGATCTCGAACACACGTATTCGTACGGATACAGTACCCGTGTCATCGCGTACACCATACCAATTCGTTCGCGCGACGATGGATTCGTCTCGTCGTCGTTCACTGAAAAGATGGATTGAGTAAAGTAAGAAATGGGAGAGAGTGCGTGTGTGAGAGAGGTGAGAAGCGCGCGAGTGTGTATTTACAGGGCAAAGTGTACAGAAAATGAAAGAGAGAGAGAGAGAGAGAGCGAGAGAGCGAGAGAGAGATACGAACTAGAAACGGAGAAGGGAGGATTGGATAACTACCTTTTGGTTGTCGTCGTAAACACGTAAAATTCGTTCGTTATCACCACCACATTACAACCACCTCCGCAACGACTTTTCAAGAAGGAAAAAGAGGTTTGTTTCCTTTTCATTGTCAGTCGAGTTCACTCAATTCAAATACAGTAACTGAGTAACTACTCACAACGAAAATCGTCCACTGCGTACTCCTTTTCCTAGATTCTGATTTTTTCTTTACGAACAGTATAATATAACATGCATATATCGAACTTTTAATTTTTAGAATAAACTATACGTTTCTCCGGATAGAAAGATCTTGATCTAGATGTGTGGATTCCTATGCTTTTATTTGGTACTCGATTATTAAGAATGGAGGGTTTCGAACAGTATTTCTTGATATTATCCGATAATTTTTAGACATTTATTTTCCTCAAATCGTTTTTAATTCGTTCCAGCACGAATCTTTTATCGTTTCTTCATTTTTTCTTCAGACAATTTTAAATTATTCATCGTTTACGATTGATAGGGCCTTAGTTTAGAATTTCTGGTCATTCGTTGCTGCGTTTCGGCGATGTAACATATCTTTTTATCGTTAAGTCATTAGGAAAGTAATGGTAGGTCTACCGAATTCGAAAATTAATGGTTTTCATTGTGATCGACGATTTTCATTGTGATTTTCACCGTGTATCCAGAATGACGAGGTATACATGTACAGGGTGAGCCATTAAAAGAACTAAACTTACCAATTTAAATAATTCATTATTTATTGATTACTGTTGAAGCTTGTTTTGTTAAAAAGGGAAGGGAACTCTTCGCTCTGTTAGAACACAATGAAATGAATTCACCTTCAACGTGCTTCATCGTATAATCAATCATATCTTTTTAATGAAACCGATAGATGACGAATTATTTAAGACGAATTCTTAACGAGTCACTCTGTATGTATGTGTATAGTATACAACTACCATAGAGACTAGAGATATATACATATACGTGTGTGTTCCCTAAAAATGGCTTCATCGTCCGAGGTTTACGGAGGAGGCGTGTGTAAAGAGTTCGAGCTCTCGATATAAAATTATTTAATTAAAGAAAGGCAGCGTCGTCGTAAACGTCATTTATTTTGTACATAAAATACTATATATTATTATAGTCTATATATATAAATATATAAATCTTGAATGTTCCCCCTTTACATTACGCCCCCTCTATTCTCCAGAAAAGAAAATAAAAAGGAATCGTATCCTGCCTCTTTAGAATAAAAATGACTCGCGAGAGGAAAGGTATCGTCGTCACACGCCACACGAGTATAAATAATGATATCGTTGTCCGTTTGTCCTTCGTTCTCGTGGAATCTATATTTTGCCATTAATTAATTATAATTACGCGATCTATGATAGCTAGTCGATCACATATATGCACACACACACGCGCGCAATTACGGGAGTAATTATTTATATAATAAAAAAGCACGACTCGTTTTACTTCATTGATCGATTCGCTGTGAAACCATCCGTAAAAGAGAGAGGAAGAGCGCGCGCGCGCGCGCGTGTGTGTGTATGTATATTATATATTTGTGTACTTGAGGGAGAGCGAAAGGGAAAGAGAGAAAGTGAGAAAAAGATAAAGAGAGATAGATAGAGAGAGAGAGAGTGGAACGGAGAGAAAGAGAACTAGATCTTTTATTATTATAAATAGTATATGAATACACTGTGAATCTAATTAAAGTGGATAAAAATGAAAAAAATACTCGTTATTATACTTGGCTACAGACGCTCGTTGTTGAATTATTGTACCTTAAGTTAACGAAGTAACAGGCAAAGCAAGAGAGAGAAAAAGATAGCGAGTGTCTATTATTTATGAGAAACTATCAGTGGACAAAATAGGAGAGAGAGCGAGAGAAAGAGAGAGAGAGAGAGAAAGAGAGCACGAGAAAAAGGGAGTAAAAGAAAAGTATAAAATGGATTCATTTTTGGAACGTTTTTAAAATAGAGGACCACCGGCGTTCGTACATATGTAGATTAACGATTGTAAGAAGATACATATATGTATATATATATATATATATATACATATATATATATTAATAATAATATTCGTACTATTGTAATAATCGCCTTAAGTTGCTAAAGCGCAAAAGAGAAAAATACATGAGAGCAACTATGTTATCTTTTATAATAGATATCGCTCGGCACTTTTTTAGTATGGGACAATCGTTTATTCTATGGGAAACTGAGGTTGAAAGAAAAGAAAAGTGGCCAAGGGAGAGAATTCCGAGTAAAATTGAAACGAAAATTTTCATTTTTCCAAAATGGATGCAACGGAGTCGAAGCAAATAAATGAGATCTGATGAAAACAGTAACAGCAGCAGTAGCTAGAAGCAGAAGTAATTTATTAACTAGAAGGTGCGTTTGTCAATTTCATTTTTCAGAATAATATTTCTATTTCAACGTAGAAAATCAGTTTCCTCTTTATCTTGACTGTGCAATGAAATTCGTATCGGCAACCGAAGTATAAAACACCAAATAATAAAGTAATTTCCAGGGTGATTTTATACAGTTATCTGAAATTGGTAGTGACGTTGATAAACTGGATGGATTTTTTAAAGAATAAATTAAGCGAGCTCTCTATGTCATATACCAAATTAATATATAAAGTTCCTTTCAGTAAAATAAATAAATAACGAGACGTTTCAGAGGATAATTGTTATCCGGTCACCCTGTATAAAAGATAATGCGTATTACCAGAGAGGTTTCCGCGAATGGTTTCGCTCCAGTGACATAACTATTCGTACCTTCCCGATGGAGGATAAAATACAGAAAGAGTATTTAATTCGATTTCGAATCGACTCGCCCTAATAAACGAGCTGTGTACGTCCGTGCGAGTGTAACAGACGTTACATATTTTCTAAGCTCGAGGAGCTTAGACGAGAATGTTTTTTGTAAATATTAGTCGTAAGCGAGCCGTTTTACAGCCGGATTAAGTATCTTATCGCTATTTAGATTATACGTATGTATAGGCAATTGTTTCACGCGTTTTCTTTCATTCAATTACCTAATTAGATCTTGAGTCACAGAATAAATGAACTTTCGAACCCTTATCATCATACACAGGGAGGTTCGAACAAACTTGAACTGAAATCGATTCAGGAAGATTCTGTTTTCCTACCGTTATGCGTGTAGAGTTTCATACCATAGTGAGTCATAGTTAAATAAGAGAGGTCGGAATGAAATTTTATTGAACGTAATTCCGGGTCAATTGCGTATAGATATTTTATATTATGTAACGATTCGCCTTCGAAGTTGGTTAAAGAATCACAGAAGAGAGAACGATTTTCGCTTCTATCTCGTTGCGATTATTACATGGGAATGTGAAATTTCTTCAATTTCTAATCTAATTCATTTTTACTTTTATTGCCTTTGTATCGATAATAACTTTTTAATACTATATTTGAATAAAAATGAAAGGTACGCTCGTCGAATTCGAGCAACTTGAACGTTTAAATATAGTCGCCCTCGATTATTAATATGTACTCGCAAGTATTCCAAAATTAACATTTACATCGCTTCGACCCGATTCTTCTAACAGATCTTAATACTTGTATTCTTTAAGCGTAGAGTTAGACAGTCGTATTCGATTTTTAATACTGTATCTCCTTCAGAATTTTTCTAGTCTGATTCTAGTTTACTCTTCGTACTACTTAAGTAGAACTGTGGTTCACGATTCTATTTAAGTACTATAATACTTAGGCTGAATCAACGATCAAAGTCTGCTCTTTTATCAATTTGTACCATTTGATTCTTAAAAATTATTAGTTTTATATCTCTGTATTACACTTCTATCTAGTAGAACTACATCCAAGAACGTAAATCCACTTTGCCAAGAAAATTTTCTCCTGTTATCAAAGTGTATGGGGATGATTTGATATCCCCAGAAAGCAATTCTCCGCTATATTTGATCCGCGAACGAAAGAAGGAGGTCCTCCGGTGAGAAAAAGTGAGAAAATTAATCGTCGTTCTTCTCCTTAAACGACGTTCTGCTCCTCATCCGTGGCTGTGCTCGCAGATACAAATAATTTTTCGTTTCTAAATCATTTCCAAATCGTTTCTGGCGATGTAGTGTAGTCGACCGTTTCATCAGTAAATTGTTATCCGCCAATGATCAATTTTGTTTATCCCGATTTAATTATTTTCTATTAGACCTCCCCCAGCACTCGAGATCACAGATTTATTTCATTCTACGAGTTTTGATAAGATTCGTCCGTAAGATCGGTTTAGCCGACGATAAGCATTATCAGTGCCTGGCACGTGCTACTATTTGTGCTAAAGAAAATCTCGTTATCAGTTCACCGTCGTCATTAGAGGAAATCTCTTGCTTTTCTGTGATCCGATTTATTTGTCTTTCTAATATCAAAATGTGTATAACGATCAAGTTGACTGACGTTACACAGGTATATGTATTACCACCCTGTTATCAGTACATTCACAATCTCCATAATGAAAAATATAGATGGTCGTGGGTTTTTATGTTCCCACGAACAAAACTTATCATCTTTACTTAAAATTACGCGTTGTACGTACATAGATTTTATTATAAATACATTAGATTATTGGGCAAGGTTCGATCGCTTTGCCTCTCCGTTAATTTTCGCGAAAATTAATTGGGTGGGCCACATGCGCTATCGATGGAAATTAATTAACTCGGACACGGATATACATATATCTATACATACTATATAGATACTGCTGTTGTAGCATGTGTCCCTATTTCTCTACAGTCTGCTGTATCCTTCGTCATTAGTTTATAATCTGTACAATCTGTAAAAATCCAATAAGTAGCGAACTCTGTCGAACGACGCGAGGCAGAATGCAGAAATTCTTACTTAATAGGATTTATCGTAACTCGTGACTCGTGTCCCAATGGTTGACGATGAATAACTTTCGTTTTGCGTTCTATCACCTTGTACGTACTTACACACAGATGAGTCAATAAGAAATATTACGATGTTTGGTCAATGATTCTATCATGCTGTGTACGAAATGATTATACGACGAAGTGCATTTCTTTCAAGCTTTATACCGAAATCAATGACCAGTGGATAATTTTCATAATATTTGCTACTGACTCGGCCTGTATATTATACATAGGACAAGTAATAGATACATACTGGAACGATAAGTCTCCGAACGAAGGCACGGCGACCGCGAGCGATGACTCTCGCCTCCGCGTTTTAATTGCTTTCTTAATACGCGAGTAGCTTTTGCCACGGTCGCGAGCTCGGAACGGGAACAAACGTCCTTCACCTTCCCCTCGAAGCTCGTTGGTATGCAGTATGCACCTATACGCGTATAACGTTAGTTTCTGAATTCGCGTCGACCAGCTTGGTCGCGCCGACTCGTTCCTATCTCCTACGCGATTCTCTACGAGATCGCTCACCGCTACATTCGTAATTCTATAATTCATCGTAACTCGGCGTGCGCGTGTCCGATTAATCGATTTCGCGTGCCGGATTAACCTCGTGACCTTACGTCTCCGTTCGATCAGTTTTGTTTCTCAGTCTCGAGCTCTTCTCGACTCGGTGCTCTCTCAACCCTTTCCACCGTGGAAACATTTCAACGTTTCCCTTTGCAATCTCTATCATAAATGTTATTGTAAAGCGACGATTCATTTTAACCAGTTTAACAACTGTTCCTTACGAGATGAATTGATGTACGTAGCGATTTATAAAATTGATAAATATCGTGCCAGCACGTTTACACATTCCACGCGTACAAAAGTTTTAATACGATTCCGCAGTTTGTCGCCCTACGTATTCTACTCGGCGGTTTAAGTAAATTGCGTAGATTATTCTACCGAAAGATGAGACATGCGTGAGATTCGATTTTCGTGCCGATATCGCGCTGGATCGAAAGGATCATTTTGTACGGTGAAAAGTTTGTTTTATTGGATCCAGCCAGCGCACGTTCATTGAATTCAATCAAATATCCAGGTATCCATCGCTCGTTTATAAAATTTTGATTAGGATTCATCGTGGCTCTCCCCAATCAATTTTTTCCTTTGCGATAACCATAAAAACTATTCCAGTCATTTTATCAAATTTTCTTTTCCGCAAATATTCTAGACCTCTAGCAAGTAATTAAACCTGACTAGTTATACATATCAAAGTACGTGTTACGAAGCGATTTA